GAATTACAAATAAAACATGAAGCAAAATAAACCAGAATTTACAATATGATTTATATTCCCATATATTTGTACTAGAGCAAATAAAAATGTATTCCAAACAAAAGGAGTTCTAGTGGTCTACTTTGATTTTTTTTGTGACAATCTAGTTCTAATTTATCATTGGCGTTTCCAACCTAGTCATAGATTATTTGAGCTCTCTRTTGGATCCATCTTCCAGCCACGGGTTCTCCTAACAAATACTCTGTACACACTCTGAAAGCTCAAGCATTCACTCACACATTGGGAATATCTCCTGTAAATTTTACACACATTATGGGAGATATTCATGAATACTGATGTGTGGTTGGATGCTGTGTTTGCCAAGATTTTATAAGCAGGAGATCCGGGCTTCATCCTCCAAGCCATAGTGAAGGCAAGTCGTGACGGCTAAAAACCAACGGTTTAAGGAGGTTCTACATCAACAGGTAAAGATAAAAGAGGAGGGGTGATGATAATTGGCAGAACTCCTAGATTTTTTCCATCCTCCATGACTGCCACAATTGGTTCCACTATTGTTTACGGTTTGTTTCCCCTTTTCATTCGCAATCTCCCTCCATCCTTCGTCTTTTCTGAATTTGTTTTTGGAAAAATTTACAATCAGTATCTTCTACATTGGCTCAAGTGACAATTTGGTCCCCGGACTTTAAAATGCAACAATTCAGTATCCAAACTTTTAAGATGTAACAATCAAGTACCCAAATTTTCAAAATATGGCAATCCAGTACCTACTGTTAACCAGTCCATTAATCAGTCATTAAGTGACATTTGAAAAATCAAAAAAGCCCTTTAAATGTCATCTTATTCTCTTTATCAACCATCCAAATATTGACAATAAAATAAACAATCCCAAATTCTAGATTCTTCTAAACAATCACCAACTTTTTTTGAACAAAAGAGGCTAGGATTTGAGATTGTTCATTCTTTTGTTAATGATTGAATGGTTGTTAAAGAGAATTAGATGACATTCAAGGACATTTTTTACTTTTCAAATGTCACTTAACTGTTGATTCATAAACTGATTAACCAAGGTACTAGATTGTCACATTTTAAAAGTTTGAGTATTAAATTATAGTATTTTAAGGTTTGATTACGAAATTGTCATTCGAACTAAAATATAGAGCATTGATAGGGAACTTTCCCTTTTTTTTTTTTTTGTTAAAAGTACGGACAATCCCATATTTTGGCCTAAAAAATAGCATGTGGACATAATAATGTAGTTGAGTTGAGATTTGACAAATANACAACCTAAAAGTTTCACCACATTTTTATGGTTAATTTGAGATAAAATAACCACCTCATTGATGAATTGTTCAACTTGACTTTCATCAACTATTTGGGACCTCTTAATGGCAACTATCTTATTATTAGGTAAAATTCCTTTGTATACTGTACCATAGCCACCTCGACCTAGGATTCGACTCTCATCATAATTGTTAGTTGCCCTTTTGAGCTCTTCTTCTGCAAATATCTTTGCAACTTCCACACTTGCATCATATGAAGAAAGCTGTTGCCTTAGCAGAAGCCCTCCATTTTGTTGAAAGAATTTTTCTCTACGTATGTTTTGCTTTCTATTCTTAATTCCCCAATATAGCAAATTGACAAATAGCACAAATAGGATGCCAAAGGCAATACCTGCATGAACATGAGAAAAATTATAAAATAGAGAAGCAATTTAAGTAGATTTGCTTAAGCTAAATATTAGAATGGGAACCATAAAAAAGAATGTCTAAATTTACATTTAATTGAAGGAAGAATAATGTGCAGAAAAACATACACACATATTGCAAAATCATCTATTAAGAACATAGACTTCCAAATCACAATAGACATGGCAAGTGCATCTGATCTAGTCCAATCTAATTATCAACCCAGGAAAGC